TATATTAGTGTATCTCTCATGTATCTGCTCAGGTAAAGAAAAGTGTTTCGACAGCCGTTAAAAGCTTTTGCTTTCCCTTGAGACCTTTTCACTATCACACACTGGGCTCCATGAAGGGTGATACCATTTTCCTACAGAACTGATTGGTTAGTAGACAATGCTTTTATATACACTGATGAATTTTCTTGAACAAAACTTGCTCTACATATGAGACATAAATGGTGATGCACACCAGTAAGAAGTGAACCACCATTATGATTTTAAAAACCAAGGTTTAAAACTGATTTTACTTTGCAAACCTTAAATCCTACTTCTGAGTTCACAGGGCTGTATTATAAAGCAGGTTCATCATACTCAGGATATATTTTGGTGTCTGGCTTCTCTAAGTCTAACATCCTCAGTTGGGCTAAGCAGTCACATGAAGCTGCTTATCAGCTCAGTAAGTCAATACAGGGTTTCTGAACCTGGTTATGAGTACATTCATGTAAAACAGATGGTGTTGGACACAGATGACCAATTGCAAAAACGGACAGATCTAGAACCATATATTTCTCACAAAATAAACAAACTGTAATCCTAAACCAATATTTAGTTTCAAAACACAATACAGGGTGAAAGCAAATGTGTAAGTTGAAAAGGTTTATCAATATCACTGTGCCACTGTACATGCATTTCTTGGATTAAGGTATTTTATTCGAGATTCAAGAGTCTCTTTATATATCATCACACATTGGAATAATATTTAAATACAGAAGCAAGTTCCATTACGCTACTCACAAAATATACCTAATATAAATTATTTGCGAAATAAATCATGCAGTAAAAATAATGAAACAATTGGGCAAAGCAGAAACACCAGCACGCCCCCTGTGTTCCAAAACAGGGACACTTGTCCTGAAAACAAGTGCAAAGGCACTAAGTGATCGCTGGAGGCATGACCAGGTCCTAAAGTCCATCACCGAGGCAATTGGCAAGGGGATCAAGGACAGCAAAGCCAGACAAGCTCCATCTAAGGCAAAATGCTTTCTCAAGGAAGGCCAGATCCCCAAGAAGAAAGCCAACAACCCCTCTGTCGGTGTGCTAGCATTAGCCCGGGACTGGACAATGTCAGTTGACCTTGAGAGAGGTAACTGAGAATACCACCACATATCATCCAGTCCACACTGAGGAGTGGCATTCTCCTCATCTCAGAGGCCACAAAGCTACAGGCTGGTTGAGAATGGTGGACAAATCTGGACTCCCGAGAAGGTTCAAGGCCTGACTCTACCAGCATGATGTCCTCCCAAGAATCCTTTGGCCACATTCTCCTCATCTTGGAGGCCACAAAACAGCTAATTATTCTGGAGCTGACTGTGCCCTGGGAGGAGAGAATGGAAGCAGCGCATGCGTGGAAGAGGGCAAAATACCAAGAGCCAGTGGAGGGCTGCTGGACCAACAGATGGAAGACCAGGTGCATGCCAGTGGAGGACGGCATTGGGGGATTTGTAGGCCATTCCATACACGAGGCCTTACGGAATCCTTGCAATAACTGGAGCAAACAGGAGGAGAGCCATTGGCAAAAACATGGAGGCAGCAGAGAGTCCATCCAGGTGGCTCTGACTAAAAAGGGGGGGGCTGTGGGGACAGCAGAATACCACTTGGACACAGGCTGAGGCTTGATCAACCTCAATAGGGTCACCTGGACGAGGGTGTCTGTTGTAAGACCTGAAACACCCAATGACTCCAGGAAACAACACTGATAATGTGTCCAACTGTGTGAGCATCAATCAATGAATGCTTTTAACACATAAAACACCCTGGGAGCACCAGTGACGACCAGGAATAGTATGGTGAGGTGTAGAGAGACAGAGGGCAGCTGTGTCCAAGAGACTGTCCAACTTCTTGCTGTGCAACAACTACATCGACACATCTGTGCAGAAGGGAGGTGTACCAGGAGTCCATGGTTACCTCAAACACATAGGCGTAGTGACCCAGCTCATCAGGGAGGCAAGAGAGGGCAAAGGCGCCCTGACTGTGATGTGGTTGGACCTCACCAGTGCCGACAGATCAATACCTCACAAACTGGTCGAGGTAGCATTGGAGAGATATCACATATACCAGAAAGTGAAACAACTTATCCTGGACGATTACAACAAGTTCAGCTTGAGGGTCTCATCTGGCCAAATAACATCAGACTGGCACCAACTCGAAGTCGGCATAATAAGCGGGTGTACCATCTCGGTGACATTGTTTGCACTGGCAATGAACATGCTGGTGAAAGCAGCTGAAAACGAGTGCAGTGGGCCTCTCAGCAAATCGGGAGTAAGGCAACCACCCATTAGAGCATTCATGGATGACCTCACAGGGACCACTTCAGCGGTGCCAGGACCCAGGTGGATCCTACAAGGATTGGAAAAACTCATGTCATGGGCTCGCATGAGTTTTAAACCCGCAAAGTCAGGATCCCTGGTGTTGAAAAGGTGGAAGGTTGCAGACAGGTTCTGCTTCAGGCTGGGAGAAGATCTGATCCCGACAATAACAGAGAAGCCAGTGAAGAGTCTTGGGAAGGTCTTCAACTGCAGCCTGAAGGACAAAGACTCCATCACAGCCACCAATGCAGACTTTGAAGGCTGGTTGAGAATGGTGGACAAATCTGGACTCCCAGGAAGGCTCAAGACCTGGCTCTACCAGCATGGTGTCCTCCCAAGAATCCTTTGGCCACATTCTCCTCATCTCGGAGGCCACAATTAATAATTATTCTGGAGCTGACTGTGCCCTGAGAGGAGAGAATGGAAGAAGTACATGCGTGGAAGAGGGCAAAATACCAAGAACCGGTGGAGGGCTGCTGGACCAACGGATGGAAGACCAGGTGCATGCCAGTGCAGGTGGGCAGCAGGGGATTTGTAGGCCATTCCCTACACGAATCCTTGGAATAACTGGAGCAAACAGGAGGAGAGCCATTGGCAAAACATGGAGGCAGCAGAGAGCGCATCCAGGTGGCTCTGGCTAAAAAGAGGAAGCAGTGGGGACAGCAGAATGCCACTTGGACACAGGCTGAGGTTTGATCAACCTCAATAGGGTTGCCTGGACGAGGGTGTCTGTTGTAAGACCCGAAACACCCAATGACTCCAGGAAACAACACTGATAATGTGTCCAACTGTGTGTGCATCAAGGGATGCTTTTAACACATAATGGTGATGCAGACCATAAATTACCACAGCAACAGAAATTATTTTAGAGTAAGAAATAACAACAACAAAAAAAGCGTAAATTAGACAGAGCAAATACAATGACTTGTTTATGGTTAATCTGCAGTGTCATCAATTTTCCATTGCAACATTTGCCACTGAGACAGAGAGTGAGAAAGATACTTTCTTATACTAGTAAGAGATACAGCTTTCAAGAGAAGAAAAGAAGAGAAAGTTAGATTGCAGATCATAAGAAGTTAAAGATGACAATACCAAAAAGAACTGGATGAAAAAAATCTCTTTAGAGAGAGGCAGAAAGACAGGAAGAGTTGCCAGAGAGGAGGAATATTATCAAACTCAAAGAAAAGATAAATATAGCAGTTTCTTTATATAAGACTCGTCATGGAGAGAAAGGAAAATATAATTGGCTCCTGTGTAAGGCGGTGTGCAGAGCAGATGTGTGTGTTCCCAGATGATGTTGCAGCTGCTGTTGTTGTTTCTCCCAAAATCAGCTTTATCCTTCTCAATCCTTCTGTGCCACCCCCCACAAACACCCACACGCACACTACAAAGACGTTATTACTCCATTTCCCTCAACGTGAATGCTGCACCAAGTGGCTCCAATTGCATGTGTATGACAGTGCCATTATCACCCAACTGAATGCCAAAAATGAGGAAACATCCTGAAGCCCAAAGAACTAGAACTGTTGATGACATTAGAGCTATAAAGAAGTAATAGTATGTAAACTACATCACAACAAAAACCTCAGTTTACAACTTCTAAGTTAGTAATATTTTCTAAGCATTTATGCCATTTGAATAAATACCTGAACCTGAATACATCTTTAAAGAAAGGTAGTGAATGTAGAATCTCCCATTTAGAGCACAAGGTTCTACTGAATGATGAACCTTAACAGTCAGGAGATCTCAACCTTACTGAACACCCACCACATATTTTGGAGTCATTCGTGTGGGCAGGGTATCTGCATGATGATTGATCAAAGCAAACTGAATAGAATCCAGGGTACTCAGGGTCAGTTTGTGCTCACAGCTGGTAGATAAAATCACACATACAAATCATGTGTGGTGTTGATAGATTTCAATGGTCTGACTTCTGATTTAGTCATTGCAATTACATTTGTTTGTTTGTTTGTTTGTTTTTTTCCCCAATTTTGGATGCTTTTTCTCTATTAAATAGCAGCTGCTGAGTTGCTATGGAAAGCATATTAATGTTGTCACTAATAAAATCAGGCTTTATTGGAACTCAGAAGAAGATGAAAAGCAACTTAAGATGTTTTTCATTGTTGTATCTAAACCGCTAATGTCCAAAAGAAGTATTAGAAGATAACTATCCACAATTTAATACAAACCCATGAATGATTTATTTAGTCTATGAGTAAGACTAAAGTCACTAATGCATATTAATTTTGGGATTATATTGATCAGGGATCAGATAAATACCACAGCAGCAGTGCTTCATTTGAGCATTTGCAAAGGAATCATTGTTTTTAGGTGCTTTAACAAGATCCTAGAGAATGACTCATTTTAGAGTCATTTAAGTTAAACTTTAGCTGATAATATCATAGACATAGGACAAATGGCTCTATTTATACCTTTTCATCTGAATTTGGATATAATGAATCTTTGACCTTCTCAGGAGGTAATTTAAGCAACTGGATTTTAATTCATCCTCGATACTTGGCCCCTAAAAGGGAGACTAAATGTAGAATATTTCATAATTGTTCCCTCTGGAAAGAATTCAGACCTAAATTTGCTTAACCTGATACACAGCATTGTTTTTTTGCTTACAAGAATACCCGCATAATTACTCACCAGTGCGAGCGTTAATGGTGAAGAAATTCTGTGGGTTTCCACTAATAATGCGATAGTTGAGTCTATCAGCTGTGCCTGTGGGTGTGGCATCAGGGTCCTGGGCCTGGATCTGGATCACAGAAACATCTCGTGGAGAATTCTCAGGCACTGAAGGCCGGTACAGCGGCTCAGAGGTCAGTGGGGCATTGTCATTGACATCCTCCACCTGTATGAACACCTCAATAGTGGTGAACTGAGGAACCACACCATGGTCGCTGGCATACACCGTTAGCCAATAGGAGTCTTTGGTCTCCCGGTCCAGAATATCTGTGGTGTAGATCAACCCTGGTACAGAAAAAGACAAAAAGAGCAAATAAGTATTAGTAAAGTATCGATACAGTAATAGCAACATTTTTTGTTTTTCTTTCTTTTTACAGTGGCTGTACAGGTAGTCGATTCTATTTTCAGTCTGAATAAAAAAAGATTTTGTTGTCATTTTCTTCTAATGTTAAAAGTCCTCAGCACAACAGGAGTTGAAGCAGTGGGTAGAAAGAGAAGAGAGAGAGAGAACATAATGCTAAAAACACACAGCCACTGCAATGCACCAATATATCATATGGTCTGTAATATATTTATAGTTTTCAATGCTCTGTAACAGATGAAAGTAATCCTCATCAATGTCTGTGGATCCAGACTAACCAGAGGAGTCTTTCTGCTGGAGCACTTCTCACGATGCTGTGGGTTCCTCTCCCCTACTCACCTCTCTCTCCATAGAGGTGTACACCACCATTACATGTCACTAACTTTGTTTCTTTCCTGAAGTTTGTGTTTTGTTCTCTCTGCAGGTGTGTCTGGATCTAGGGTTAGGGCAGTAGCAGGCCTCACCAAACTTCAAAACATTCATCGCTCTCCTATGTATTGTTTGTCTGCTATCCATCTGCTATCCGGTGTTGCTGACCACTCTGCCTGCAACACTGTGTGTCAGACAGAATAGTCAGCAACTCTGGGACCTCACAGGGGACTGTCCTCTCTCCCTTTCTCTTCACCCTCTTCACTCTGAGTGATTAGGTTTACATTGAACTTTGGACTTTTTAATGATGTGCAATAACCCAAATGCAGAATGTATATTTTTGCAGAGTGTAATTTTATGTTTTGTGTTGAGATATACTTTATTTCATATTAATACTTATGTTTATATTTTTATCATATATTTTTACTTTCTCTACTTCTTTTAACACTTTGATTGGGAGCATCTGTAAGAGAAAGCAATTTCCCCTAGGGGATCAGTAAAGTATTTCTGATTCTGATTCTGATTCTGATTCGGATGTGAAGTGCTGTGAGATGGCATATGCTGTGAATTGGTGCTATATAGATTACATTAAAAATTGAAATTGACATGCCAACAATTAGATACCTGATTATGGAGAACAGTTCTATTTGTTCTGTCAAGTTTTTCTGACACTATGTCTGCTATCATTCAACACCATAGTCACCAGCTATGAGCTACATCATCAGAACTCCGAACAGCCCACCCCATGTTCTAATAAAGCACACTATACCTTCAATCTGAATACAGACTGAATGAGTAAACAGCTGCCCAACTACAGGCTTTCTGGCAGAGTTGTAGAACCATGTGAAACAGGAGAAGCACTGTAAAGGCTATAGGCAATCTGGTTAACGTTATTTAATCCCATGATGCCTTGCCGGTGGAAAGTTTAGTCTAAAGCCCTGCAACCTCTGGCCTTAGTTTATGTTTGTCTGCTCTCATGTGCTGTGTGTGAATCGCTGTGTGCGGCAGTGTTTGCTTTCACCTCAGCCTGGGCTGTGTGTGTGTGTGTGTGTGTGTGTGTGTGTGTGTGTGTGTGTGTGTGTGTGTGTGACGGTGCTGAGTGCACTTATTAGTTATGTCTGAAAGCAATATATACTTTGTGTATTGTCTAAGTGGATGATTACACTGTTCAAAAAGCACTTCTGTCCTTTTGAAACCCTCCCGGGATTGAACATGAATGCTGCTGGCTCATAACCTCAGCGAAAGCTAACAATACAAAAACATATGCAATCACTAAGGTATCTTAAGCATGTAATTGCAAAGCTCTTAGACACTCTGTTTGCTCACATGTTTAAGTGGAGTAGCTTATAGGATATTTAGAAAGTTTTGCTGCAGCAGTTTCTGGGTATGACATGTATGACAGGAACTATTACAGTCACAAATATACCAATCTTTAGAGTAAACTGGTTAAGAGGTGAGGTGGAAAAGTGCTGTTTTCCCAGTTAGCTTTCCCAAGTATACCCCTTCATATTATAAATGATTTTGTAAACGAAGTGCTCCTATTATTTAGTTAGCTGTTTATGCTGGACATCAGTGACAAAAAAATGGCTTTTAACTGCCACCAACAACAACACTATTGACACTAAGCATGGAACATATACACATGCACACACACACACACACACACACACACACACACACACAGAGAGAGACAGAGAGAGAGAGACAGAGAGAGAGAGAGAGAGAGACAGAGAGAGAGAGTGTGTGTGTGTACCATTGTTTTTGTCCTGTGGGACAACTGAATGTTCAAGGTTAGCTGTAATTAATTCAGAGTTGCCCTATGCTGTGTTCTGTCTGCATCACTGTTCATTCATCTCTGCCTTTTTCTGGCTCCTGGGCTGCTCTGCAGCTAATAGCTATGCACAAAACTACAGCACTGCTTTTAATAACCTGAGCTCCTCCTTACAAGCCTGCTTTCCACTTAAGAGTGTGGAATTAACTACAAGTGTCACAGGAGTGCTAGGCATAAAACACATTGGAGAACAAGGAGGGACAGTCTGGATCACAACTCAATCAGCCTCCTTGCAGCACAGATCAGAAAAAAGCAGAGTGGCTTCAGTGATGCAGTCGAGTCTGTGAGCTAAGAGCCATGGACTTTCTGACCAAGAAAGACTGTCTCAAAAGAAGAAAATCCTGTTTCCTGTGATTATTTCACCATGTTTTTTTTGTTTCTATTAAGAATACATCACACCAACAAGTACAGTGACTTGTAGCCACTTGTTTTTTGATGTAGATATCAATATCAGTATTTAAGAATTTAAATAAAAAGTATAGCAAATACATCATTCAATATCTGCTAAAATATGTGGATATTTTACGATTAGAAAAATACTTTACAGTTAAATTATTTGCATATTGTTATTCTTAATAGTAATAATGTAAGTGTAACGTATTAACACAGAGTTATAAACATGACTACAAAAACAATATCAAGTCCCGCATTTAAAATTATATAAGTTAAAACTTAGAACTATAGACGGGTGACAACTTAAATCATTACATAAATACATAGATAAGTACATTAAAAATAAATTGTCTTAGTTAGGTACTCAAAATACCGCATAGGTCATTGCCATGCCGTTATCACTCCTGGTTTTAGCCAAGTTACACAATTTGTTGTTTTAGTGTCTGCAGCTTTAAATGCAAATGAGCTGCTCCAGCCAGTGCTTTTTCATAAAAGAAGATTATCTTTGAATTTCTTTACTCTGTTTCATATTTGCCAATTTAGGCAATTTTTTGACCCCTTCATCATTTTTTTAATATGTAAATATAGCTGAAATCAAAACACACTGTCTGTATGTAACCAGTGTGTATGGTTATTTTGTCAGACAACTTTGTGGTTATAAAATCTGAATCTATCTGTGTTGCTTGTAATTGGCTTAAAAATTACTGTTACACAGCATGTAGTCTTAATTGGCAGGATACTAGCCACTGTTTCATGTTCTTGCTACTATTTTCTGACAACAGAAACAGAAAAATATGTAAACTGAATATGTGAGCATAGAGAATAATGTAGTTATTGGACTTATTTCAACACATGCTGGTCATTTGTTTTATTTTTTTTCTTTTCTTTTTTTAAATCCAGACTGCTTTTATCATTCTCCTTAAAGTAGAACCAACATGGGCCAAGAGTTTATTTGAGAATCACACTCAAAGTATCCCACAAAACAGTAATATTTCAAATTAATCATTAAAACACTAGAGAAAGGATATGCTATATACCTACAGTGGTTAAAACATACAATAGTTGAAGGAGCCATGACAACATGTTTGATACTTACAAAACATTGCCACAGAGATGACAAAATAAAGAAACATCTCTTAATTCAGAGCAGAGAGTTCTGAAGCATTCTCAAGTGCTCAAATTGGTATACTCTTTATTGGCAGTTTTACACACTGAGACCAATAAATGAAATGACTATGATAAAATACTGAATTGCGAGTTACAGCCTTGTTCAGTACTGACTCTAGCTGCAGTGTGGTGAGAGTCTGTTGAGCCTGACTGGCTTGAGGGCTGCTTGGTATCTGGGGAAGTGCATTTCAACAAGCCAGACAAAGTGAGTCTCACTCTTAATTGGGAGCTAGGAGAAGATTAATTGAGGCAGTGATTAGCATTTGCACTAATCCAAGGGAATGGAGGTCCTTTGTAATTCTCTAGTCAGGCACTAACTGTTTTTTTATTGCTGCCCACTCCCAACTCTCCATTCCTGCTAGGAGGCTAATGCATCCAATTTACAGCATTGCTCCATGTGGACACTGATTAGGGTATAGTATACGCATCTGTGTGAAGTAGGAATGCGTATACCACAAGAATTGTCTTTGTAATAAGCCTCTAATTAAGTCCAAATGAGATAGTCCATGTAGTGCTGACCATTCAGCCACATCTACTGTGAGTGTCTAACCTGCTCTTTCTCCTCACTATACTCTCACAGCTGTGCATGTATTAATATACTGTACATGATTGTGACGTGCAATGCCGTGAAAAAGTATTTGCCCCCTTCTTAAAGTCTTTTTTTTTCTTTTTTGCATATTTCCCCCACTTTAGTGTTGAAAATCATCAAACAAATGTACCTATCAGACAAAGAAAACCCAAGTAAACACACAATGCAGTTTTTAAAGATGATTTTATCTATAAAGGAAAAAAAAAGAATATTCAAAGCAACCTGGCCCTGTGTGAAAAAGTAATTGCCCCCTAAACCTAATAACAACTGAAATCAAGTGCTTTGTGTAACTGGCAATGGGTCTTTTATATCTCTGTGGATATATTTTGGCCAACTCTTTGCAGAATTGTTTTAATTCAGCAACACTGGAGGGTTGTCGAGCATGAACGGCCTTTTTAAGGTCATGCCACAGCATCAGATTCAAGTCCAGACTTTGACTAGGCCACTCCAAAACCTTTATTTATTTATTTATTTATTTTTTAAGCCATTCAGAAGTTGACTTGTTGGTGTGTTTTGGATCGTTGTCCTGCTGCATAACCGAAGTGCGCTTCAGCTGGTCACGAACTGACGGCCGAACATTCTCTTTCAGGATTTTATGGCAGAGAGCAGAACTCATGATTCCATCAATCACAGCAAGTCGTCAAGGTCCTGAAGCAGCAAAGCAGCCCCAGACCATCACACTGCCACAACCATGTTTGGCTGTTGGTATGATGTTCTTTTGTTGAGGTGCTGTGTTACTTTTACGCCAGATGTAACGAGACACACACCTTCCAAAAAGTTCAACTTTCGTCTCGTCAGTGCATAGAATATTGTCCCAAAAGTCTTGGGGATCATTCAAATCCTTGTTTGCAAAGGCAAGACAAGCCTTTATGTTCTTTTTGGTCAGCAGTGGTTTTTGCCTTGGAACGCTGCCATGGATACTATTTTTGCCCAGTCTCTTCCTTATTGTTAATGGCTCTCACCACGGTTTGCTGGAGTCTGAAAGCTTTAGAAATGGTTTTGTAACCCTTTCCAGACTGACAGATGTCAATTAATTTATTTATCATCTGTTCTTGAATTTATTTGGATCATGGCATTTGTTGTAGCTTTTTGAGATCTTTTGGCCGACTTCATTTTGTCAGACATCCATCCATCCATTATCTATACAACGCTTAATCCTCACTAGGGTCATGGGGGGCTGGAGCCTATCCCAGCTGACTTAGGGTGAAGGCAGGGGACACCCTGGACAGGTCGCCAGTCTATCACAGGGCTACACTTAGAGACAGACAACCAAGCACACTCACATTCAAACCTACAGACAATTTAGAATCACCAATTTACCTCAACATGTTTTTGGACTGTGTGGGAGGAAGCCAGAGAACCCGGAGAAAACCCACGGGGAGAACATGCAAACTCCACATAGAAAAATCCCGAGTGTCCTCACCGGAACGCGAACCAGTGACCCTCTAGCTGCGAGGCCACAGTGCTAGCCACCAAGCCACTTTGTAGCCCATTTTGTCAGACAGGTTCTATCTAAGTGGTATCTTGATTGGACAGGTCTGGAGGTAGTCAGGCTTGGGTATGGTCAGTGAAATTTAACTCAGCTTCCCAAAAATGTGACTAGCCGCAGTTAATTCATAATTTAACAAGGGGGGCAACTACTTTTCACACAGGGCCAGGTAGGTTTGGATAGATTTTTTCCCTTAAAACATAAAATCATAATTTAAAAACAAAAACTGCATTTTGTGTTTACTTTGTTTATCTTTGTCTAATATTTCAATTTTAAGTGGGGGAAATATTTTAAAAAATAACAATTCGAGAAGGGGGCAAAAACGTTTTTCCTGGCACTGTAGACTGTGGGGTCTTCAGACCCACTGTTGCCTCCTCCTCAGCTACTGATAAGATAGCTTATCTTTTATCTTTATATGACAGGTGATTGTTATAGGTAATCTTAACTTGTCTGCTTCGTGCTACCAACTGTTTATAAGACATTTTAGCCAAAATTAATCTCACACAGAAACTATAGACTTTTTTCAGCTGAACCAAAAAGCCCTTCGAAGTAATCATTAGTTGATGAAAATAAACAGAAAAGCAAAAAATCACTGATGCAGGAGTTTATAAGCACAGTTTAAGTGATCACTATCTAATAGCTTGCAATAGAATCTCAAGGATGAAATAAATTATCTCTGCATATGATTAGACATGATTTCAAGCATTCTGATGACCTGGCACCACTGAATATTTCTTTTAGCTAGCAATATTTATGATAATTCTAAAATTCCAGATGCTCTTAAAAATTTTTTTTGTCTTTTAGCTCGACTTGATAAGCACGCATGTTTAAAAAATGACAGAATTCACAATAGCTCAAGCCCCTGGTTCTCACGCCTTTACAGTAGGGTGCAATAAGAAAAAGTAAATTAACTTTTTGTTTTATTTAAATGTCCAAATTAAAATATCAAATCCAGCAGAATTCTGGAAGGCAGTGAACTATATTACTCTCATAAACTTCTCTCCTTTTGCCACAACTGATGGATGTTTGATATCAATTCATAAAGGATCTGCGTAGCTTTTAATAAACATTCTACATCTGCTCGTAACCTGTTTCATAAAGTTTATAGTGGACCGTCGTGGTCCTCTGTTGAACCCAGGTAATGCCATGACCTTGTTTAATGTCACAGTTCAATTCAATTCAATTCAATTCAATTTTATTTGTATAGCGCATATTTACAACAACAAGTCATCTCATAGCGCTTCACAAAGGCAGAGACAGAAACACCCAACAATCCAAAACATTTGGATTCCCTACAAGCTTCAGCAGTCCCCAGGCAGTCTGCAACAGTGGAAAGGAACCGAAAACCCCCGCGGGGGAAAAAAAACCTCCGACAGTTGTTCTCCTCTTATGAAGTGGTCAATGCATTACTAAAGCTGTAGATATAAAAAATGTGTACAGCAAGCTTGAGCTGTACTTAAAAAAAAACGTCAAGCTTGATTTGTTGTCACCTACATCATAGTTGTATTTAACCATTCAGTTTTAACAGGTACAGTTCCTAAGGTCTGGAAGGCTGTCTATGCAAACCCTTTAAATAAAGGCAAAGTGGTCCTGAGGGAGGGACCAGAATTAGCTTCACTTCATTGGCCCCCTGTAAAATCCAGGATAGAATTTAAAGTCCTGCATCCAACATAAAAAACTCTTACTGACCAAGCTCAATCTTATCTTAAAGACCTTATTGTACCATATCATCCTAAAAGAGCCATTCACTCTCAGACTGCAGGTTTACTTGTGGTTTCAGTTTCTAGAAGCAGAATGGCAGGCAGAGCCTTCAGTTATCAAGCTCCTATGGTGTGAAATCAGCTCCCAGTTTGGGTTCAGGAGGCAGAAACCCTCTCTGCTTTTAAAATTAGGCTTAAAACATTCCTGTTTGACAAAGGTTATAGTTAGGGCTCCATAGGATTGCCTGAACCTTCCATCAGTTATGCTGCTATATGTTTAGACTGCTGGGGGACTTCCTGTGATGCACTGAGCACCTCTCCCCTATTCTCTCATCTCTCTTTTCCATACAGTTATGTACCACCATTCCATATCACTAACTTCGTCTCTTCTGCATACTTTGTGTTTTGTCTCTCTGCAGGTGTCTGGCTAGGGAGCTTCCTGCCATCCCCATCTATCTCATCCTCATCGTTACCCCAACTGATCGAGACAGATGACCGCCCATCCTGAGCTTAGGCTCTGTCTTGTTTTTGTTTGTTTGTTTGTTTGTTTGTTTGTTTGTTTTGGGTTTGTATTTTTTTAACCTCCCCGCTAAAGGGGTTGTAGTACCAGACGCAGCGGCCGTGGTTCGATTCCAGCCAGCGGCTCATTTGCTGCATGTCCTTTCCACACTCTTCTCCCCATATTTCTCTGTCATGCTTTCACTGTCCTATACATTAAAGGCAGAAAAGCCCCCCAAAAAATATCTCTAAAAAAAAAAAAGATGCTTTGTATTTTAAGCAGAAGAGTCAGATATAGTGTGAAACTCTGGAAAGATATCATTCTGTAAACTGATCAGGGCAATATACCAGACTATGGTTGTGCAATGTGTACTATGTAAATATGATTAGGCCATTTCTCAAAAACACAAAGCTTTTTATGCATTCTATTTTATTTGGAAAAGGCAGGGCTTTTTCCAAATATTAGTGAACAAAATACCAAAAGTAACATTCAAACAACAACTAAACTCATTTACACATAATTAAATCTAGACAAAAAACAATTCAAAAAGCCAAACAATTCACAAAAGAATATCAGACAGGTTAAAATATAGTAATGAGCGATTCCTGTTTGCCAGTATGAAAACTGACCTAGCTCCAATTCAAATGATAACAAAAACCTCCAATAAATAAGAGCTCTGTAAAGCTTCTAATCTTCATATTTGTTGTACAGTGTCAGTGCTGTCTGCTGGAGCTGTCTTGTAGGCTTTATTCAGAGGTTCTTTACACTTGATTTCTCAGACTTTACTTGATATAAGATTTATAAAATTGCTTTTTGTTCTCCTTTTTAAAAAAAACCACATTATTCAACCTTGTGCATCACATTTGCATTACAACTATGTAACACTGAAAATACTGATAACATTTTCGGCAGCATAAATATGGGCAGTAGGAGCACTCAGTAAAAAGCCACACAGGCACAGGGAAAACATGCAAATTCGAAACAGAAAGGCCCCAGCCTACTGGACAGTTAATTCCCATATTCAAGCTGTAAGGTAACAGTGCTTAACACTGCACCACCAGCAAAACGCTTAATACACTTTTTTTTTTTTAACAATTTAAAAAAAAAACTCACCAGTCTCTTCGTCAATGGCAAATCGTCCAAGCCCACTTCCATCGTGAATAGAATACTGAATTTCTCCATCTCTGCCAGCATCGTCATCATTTGCAGTGACTTGGAGTACGGTAGTTCCAATCCGGGCATTTTCTTTAACTACTCCTGTCAAGGCAAAGTGGGAAAAGTATGGAGCATAGAGGTTTTCATTCACATCTACCACCTCCACCTCCACAAAGGTGACAGAGAGAAGAGAAACAGGTCTTCCCTTGTCTTTGGCCTTCACAGTGAGGTTGTAGAACTGCTGGGTCTCGTAGTCCAGCTCCTTTGTGAGCCGAATGGCTCCACTGGCCCTGTCAACCTCAAACCATCCACTGTAGTCATTGGCTAGAGAGTACCGGACTTGGCCTCCTAATCCCGTATCTGGGTCCTGGGTTTCTAACCAGGCCACAACTGTTCCTACTGGAAGATCCTCCAAAGCCCTTGCTTTGTATACACTGGGGATAAATAGTGGAGGACAGTCATTTACATCCTCCAAGATGATTTTCAAAGTGGTAACAGAAAACTTCTGGTTCCCTTTCTCTCCTTTATCCCGAGCCTCGATCTTCAGATAAAAAGTAGAAACAAACTCCCTGTCGAGTTGGCCGGCAACATACACTATCCCATTAGTGGAGTTGATGCCAAACTGGGTGGTGCTTGTCAAAAGAGAGTACACAATCTTCCCATTGGGTCCAAGATCTTTGTCAGTGGCTGCAACCTGGATGATATCTGTACCTATGGCAGTGTTTTCAGGTATGACGATTTTATAGCCTCCTTCTTGCAAAAAGTGGGGTGCATTATCATTTCCATCCTCTATGTAGACAGTAAGCAAACGCCATGCAGTTTTCTGTGGAAGGCCAAGGTCGTAGATAGTTAGGTTGAGGAGATAACGATCCCTTTTTTCTCTGTCCATCGGCAGGAAGACACTGATAAGGCCAGTGTGCATGTCAATAGTGAAACAGTTGTCAGTGTTTCCATCTGAAATAGAGTATAGAATCTGACCATTGAATCCTGTATCTCCATCATAGGCATTAACCTTGAAAACACTTGAGCCAACCTTTAGGTCTTCCAGCACAGCAATATCTGTGGGAAAGGTTTTGTCAAATTGGGGTGTTTGTCGATTGACAGAGAAAAGGTCAATAAAACCTTCCTCAATTTTAGGTTTGATGCTAGCTTTGGATTTTTTAAGTAACTTCTCAGCTAATTTTTGGGCCACCCTTGTTTCTTCACAGGTTAGTCGTTTGGGAGGAGATTTTCCATGAACAACTGAAATATTAACAAACATAGGATCTGAAAAGTTTTCACCATCTGTGGCAGTTATTTTTAAGCTAAAAACATTGTTCTTTGGATTGGTTGTGGCAAGGGAATGTTGCAGTGCAAGGATCCCTGAATCCGGGTTGAGATCAAAATACCCTTGCTCATTCCCTGAAATTATCTTATATTTCACTAACTCTAATTCATCTATATCAATCGCAGACATTGTTGTAATCACTTCATCTACTGGGAAATCCCCAGAAATCACCCCTTGGCATGCTATCTTCTCAAACAATGGCTGGTTGTCATTTACATTTTCCAGATGGATTGTTACATTGACTTCACTCTCTCGCCTATATGGTGACCCCCAGTCAGATGCTCTGACAACAAACACAAAACTCTCAGGTGAGGATTCAAAATCCAACTCTTTAGTTGTGCTGATGACACCAGAAAACTGATTGATTTTGAAGGGTAATGGCTGCAGGCTGGAAATGCTGTAAGTTATGTATCCATTTTCACCTTTATCTTCATCGACTGCAGAAACTGTTAATACATTGGTCCCAACTGATATACTTTCATTGACAAACACTTCATAAGAAGATTGAGCAAATGTTGGTGTCTTATCATTTGCATCCTTGATGGTTATCCGTACTTTAACTTTGAGATCACAATCTATTTCCAGTACCTCAAGATTAAAGACATCCTGGGACACCTGAGTGAACCAGTGAGTGGTGGAGATTACGCCTGTTAGGGTGTTCATTTGAAAAAAAGCTGAATCTGTGGAGGGTGTCAGGATATATTCTGCATCATCTGGTTCTGGCCTGATTTTAACAGCCTCTAAAATTGTGCCTGGTGGAGAAATTTCATTGACACTGATATCATAAAACTCCTGCTCAAACTTAGTTTCTGCTGTTTGCCTTTTCTTAACCATTATGTGAACAACCTTGACACCAGAGAACTTTGGTGGGGTTCCCCTGTCTTTGGCCTGCAAGGTGAGGTTACAGCCATAAGGGTAAGTCTCCCAATTTACTGACTCAGAAGCTTTAATGGCAAATGTGCCTTCTTCGGATCTCTCCACAAAAAACTTCTCTGAGGGGTCTCCACCCACAATGACCACTGAATCTATTTCTCCATTTAAGCCTTCATCTTGATCCTCAACAGTGACCATGGCACACACAGGGTTTTTATCCAGATATGAGGGGGTGTGGGTGACTACATTCATTACTGGGGCATGGTCATTCACACGCTCTACATGGACAAAAAGCTTTGCTGTGCTGCTGACCCCATTATTTCCATAGAGTTTCATGCCACGGTCCACTGCCAGAATTTCTAAGTCATACCGGTTCTGCTCATCAACATTAAGCTTTCCACTCAGAGAAACCACTCCGCTAGTTGGGTGTACAGCAAAAAGCTCCATTTTCTCCTTAAAAAAATAGTAAAACTCTCCATTGGAGCCAATATCTGCATCTGTGGCTGTAACTTGTGCTATGCTAGTCCTGAGAGGGGTGCTCTCCGCTATGGTGACGGAGTATGTGGTGGGTGAGAACAAGGGCCGGAGGTCATTCATATCCAAGACCTGAATGCTGACTTTGGTCCAGGTCTCAAGGAGGGCCTCTCCCTTGACAGAGGCTTTCACTGTCAATACATAATTATCCTGGATCTCTCGATTCAAGATGGCTGCATTACCACCCTTAGTCCTGATGCGCAAGAAGCAGAAGTCACCGAGCACAAACTCCTCTGCCTTGAAAAACCCTTCATCATCACCTGAGGTGATTCTGTAGCGGATTTCCCAGGAGCGCTGGGCCAGGTGAATTCCCATTTTAATTTTACTGTTGGCATAGGTGCGTGCTGCTGAGTTTTCATAAACTGTAGCATGGTAGACAGACTGAGTGAAGCCAAAGTGAAATCCATCCTGAGGAGCTCCCTGGGTATTTTGGCCGTAGCAGGGTGGTGGCTTTAAAAACAGCAATGGCAGCAGCAGGGCCAGGCCTAGGAGAGGGGCTCGCATGCCTGCCCACTGGCCCATCTTCACATCCATTCCATCATAACTCCATTCTGAAAGGAAAGATAAAGACATAGGCAGGGAGAGAAAGTTAAGCCCCAGGAGGAGGGATTTAAAGAACAAAAGGCACCGACATATCCACAACTTGACCTATCAGCTCGCAGCCCTTACTAATTATCCATTGGATGGAAGAGAGTGATTAGAAGTGTTTAAGTGTGTGTGTGTGTGTGTGTGTGTGTGTGTGTGTGTGGGGGGGGGGGTTACTGAGCAACCAAAATTAAGGCTGACATCATCCTTGTGTGTTATTTGGACAGTGGCAGTCGATTGCAACGTTCAGAAAAACCAGAGCTGGTTTGAGAAGGAACAAAATAATTGTATGTCTAGAAGAAGAGTGTAACATCACCAAAACAAACACTAAAGAAAAAAATATGTAGAGGACAAAATGATGGGCTTCTACACTATGACCCCATCATAACCCTTTTCCTGAAATACATGAAAACTGCAGCCCTGTATTTCAAAACCATGTAATATGTCCAGAAGTAAGCCAGATATGGTTTTGAAACTGAGAGGCATGTCGCTGCTGCTTTCAGATTTTGTTAAAAAATTGTTTTCTGAACGTAAGAGGCCACAAATATGTGCCCATCTGGGGTTTGGGAGGAAAGCCTGATCCAGTAAAAGCCAATTGTGGCCATAGGAGTGCCACAGCGGTCTGCATCCTGATGAGTCTGCGCTTTCCACCACAAGGGATGGAGGGGAAAAGGACTTATAATAACTCAGTGCTGAAACACACAGCTAAATCTACAAATTCTCAACAATGTACACAGTTCAACACGTGCACATTGCTACAGCGAGAGCACAAACTATTTTACTCTTAGCTTATGACTGGAAGAAAAAAAAACGGTTTGTGCACATAGCCAAAAGCTACCTCAGCTGAAATAATGCAAACTGATGCCTAAGCCTGCACTTAAATACAGTGTAACAGCTATTTGGGGAAGAAAAGGGCTGCAATACACTCGAGTAACAAGCAGGAAACAACACTTCAGTTTTTGTCTGACCTTAAACTGTCATCTTGGTGTCAACTTTAGTCCGTGATTGTAGAGGAGGGGTGGGAGGTTGGGGGTTGGGGACCTTTGCTACTAAAAGTTTGTCATAGCAGGCTCACTCAGTTTTACTGGGTCAAAACATCTCTTCTGAAATGCAAGGGCTAGCAGGGAGGCACAGTAATAATGCTTCAACTGACAAGATTTCTTCAGCGTTTGGGCATAGAGGCAGATTGCTAACGTACGCGAGCTAGCTCTGCTTTGTGAAGTTAAAAGGTATGAGCTGCAGTTGCCATTGTTTTGTCAAACTAACATACAGAATTGCACCTCTACAGAATTAAATTAGAAAAGAGAATTTTATTGTTTTAAGAAACGACTGGATGTGCTGCATGAGTGTTAAATAATGAACATACTTTGATTCAGCAGGAAAGATCAATAATTCTTAAAACATTGTATTCTTTTGAAGAAATGGAAAAAGACGCACAGGAAACTAAAATCATTCTGAGACATCTGCTTTTCTGCTTGAGTGTACAATTGTCATGCTGTTTCTACACTCAGAAACCCCAGAAGCATGTGCTTGCTACATGTTTGCCACACATACCACAATGGACAGTGACACAGAAAAAAACACCACCATTCTCCAACAAGAAACCCTACTTACTGTCAGGTCTAAACACCCTCTCGTTAGCATTTCATTATAGGCTAATTGGCTTTGAAATGTGTGGCAAACAGCAACCAGTTGGTTGCACAGCTCTGCAGTGAAATCACTGTTCCACAGTTTCAGTTTACATATGAAACTCTTTATTTAATATACACCTAGCACTGTGACACGCAAATAAAATCATCACACCAGCCATAGCAGATAACAAGCAGTGATTGTAAATTCTGTCCCCCAACCAGTCTCCACCTTCATTAATGATCAAGACTGAGGTTCAGAGCCAGACAAGTGCAAACTGCCAACTTGGTTTAGCAAGATTTTAGCACAAAAAGCAAAGGTGGTGCAGAAAGACAGAATAGGAAGGTAAGAAAAGACAGAAGATACCAGAAAACAAATTTGGTTTCATGATTAATGATTCTTTTTTAAACAGACTTTAAACAGTAGTCGCAATAAAACCATTGACTGTCGCAAACAAAAACAAGTAAGAATGAATTACATCAATAAACTAGCACATCTAGCCCCCTTATTACATACATCTGACAGCCATATAGAAATATATATCTGTTGTACATATCTGAGCTAGATGTAAAATGTGAATGAAGCATGACCACAATCACCGGACACAAAAAAAAATCTCATCCAGGTAAAAATTATGTTTTCTCAGTAGAGAAAGGGTTCACTGCCAAATCTTGCTGTGCAAAAAACACAGGGACTGTTTTCTGTCCTACTGTGATAATTACAGCCTCCTCTATCTGGAAGACGTGTGGGAAGACAAGCAGAAAGATAGAATGGCAAACGAGAGCGAATTGAAAGCATAAGCGGTGGAGGAGAAAACAAACAGTACAAGACAGAAGAAAGAGACAGAAAAGGGGGGAGGGGGTTATTACATCATCTATACAGAGAACTGCAGTACAATGGTGCCTAAACCCCAACTGCTCACTGTGGTTAACAAATCAATAAACAAAAAAGGAATCCATTGGGCCAGAAAAACTTGTAGTCTTTCTGCTAATATTTTTAAGAATATTGCCAACATGCATCAGACACTTTCGAGTATACCACTTTAGACATGTTTTTTATATTTTAGACCACAAACTGAATAGATCTGGCTATATATATCAACCAGCAGAGTAGTTAAGCTTAGAGTATAGCTGCTGCTCCTTTCGATTAAAAGGAGCCGGTTGAGATGATTCTGATTAGAATGCTTCCTTGGCACATTCCTTTAGAGGTTTTCTGGGCACAGCCAACTGGAAGGAGATCATGGCATAGGCCCACAACAGGCTGGATATCTCTTTTTGGCTTAGAACACCTTGGGGACTCCCAGGAGGAGCAAGAAAGCACTGCTTGGGAGAAGAACATGACAATTACTGTTGGTCACTGCTTCAACTGAAAGATGGACACAAATAGAAATATTTGTGTTGTTCAATTTCCACAACCATACTATTACAAGACCAGATGAAAAGATATTCACTTGGCAAAATATCAGCATGCAGACGGTGTGGCCAAATATGTCACAGACTCTCTGAGTCTCTGAAAGGTAGCAATCTACTGTTAACAATCCTGGCACTATAGCTAAGTACTGTGGCAGTATTTATTAGAATTGTACCATCACCAGCCATTCAAGAGAGGCAAGAACTCTGCCAACTAAAGTGGAATGCTCAGTACCCTTTTTCACCTCCATTGGGGGCATTTCTTAATTCAGTTTTATAGGGCAACAACCAAATACTTAACCAACCTGCTATTTATTTGTTGCCTAGTTCTTCAGTTTTCAATTTTAGAATCAGGACGCACATTTTGTTTTTTGTTCAGATTCTTAGTTATCCAGGTCGTGGTAATCCTGAATGCTTCAATTAAAGGCAATATGACTTCTTTTTTCCATTCTTCAAGATGTTCTAGATTTTTTGTTGTCTTAAAGTAGCGTCTAACCTGAATGTCTAAGAATGGTTTTGTCTTTGGAGACCAACTCAATTTCATTCGAATTGCAGTTTTTTTGTCAATTAAATCTCCTGTTCTGCCTTCCAAAAAGGTCAACAGCAGAATGAACTTTAACCCTTTCTACCACAGCACAAACATTACTGTCGTTACTGAAAAAATGAAACTGCAGTCGCAGAAAGTGTTATTATCAGGTTCCAAACAAAAACTGACATTTGACATGTATTGCAACGTAAAGCTGGTGCAAAGGCAAATCAGCTCAGCTATAGTTAAAGCATGGCATGGTCTCACCATCAAACAGTTATAATCATGGTTAGTCAGGATGGCAATTGTTAAGGAGGTAGGAAAGTATGAACCTCAGCATGCATTCAGTCTTCCATGCCTAAATTCAGGTTCAGGTTAGGGAATATTGATGCTTTCCTAATTAACCTTTAAGACTTGAGCTCTTATAGGAATAAACAGAAAAAATATAAAGAAAATAAAAATAGATTAAAAAAAAACAAAAAAAGATATATATTTGTTAGTTTCCTC